TGTGTGTGTGTGTGTGTGTGTGTGTGTGTGTGTGTGTGTGTGTGTGTGTGTTTGTCTCAGAATAAAGAGGAGTGGGTGTCCAGCTTTGAAATTTAATTCTAGTGAGTCTAGAAAACAGCTATGAAGTATGCTGGATATACATTGGAACTGTTTACATCATTATGGTTCTCTACTGCAATGAAAATGGACACAGTTTTTGAAGCGTCCCTGAAGAGTCCTGGAAGGTGTTGGGGGCAGGGGACGGAGAGGGGGATTTGTTTATTTGGGCAGGGGGGGGAGGGTGAAACTCTGAAAAAAGGGGAAGGGCAGGCAGGAAGAAAAATGTGCTAAAATGGATGCGAAGAGGAGAAGACTTGGTCGTCACGCTCTTGGGGAAAACCACCATGCAACAACAACGGAGAGTAATTTTAAAAATAAATTAATTAGGTGTCTATTATTATTTCTGTCTTCCCCTGCATGCGTCCGACTTCGACTCCCCTTCGGTTTGGAGCGTCTCTTCTGCTTCCCTGCTGTGACGTCGCGACGACATCTCAGCCGGCTTTCATCATGAGGGATCGAATCTTCTCGAAGTCGCTGGGACTAGCCTGGTGGTTTTGGAACCTCCGAAGCATGGACAATTTTCCCGGGCCCCCACCGCCCGACCTGGATTTCTCGTTGCGGTCAAGCGTGGTCAAAATGTGATCGACGTTGTCGAGGCCGGAGAATGCTGGAAGCGGGACGAGAAAGAGGAAGGAGAAAAAAGGGGGTGGGGCATGGGAGGGGGCAAGCAACGGGGAAGTAGTAAAAAATGGTGGTTGGTTTACATCAAACATACATGCGTGAGAGAGGGGGAGAGAGTGCAAGCAAAACTTGCTGCTGATGTTGTTGTTGTTGTTGTTGCTATTGTTGTTACTGTTTTTGTTGCTGTTGTTGTGGGTGTCGTGGCCTTTCCGTTTGAAATGTTTAGAGCCCCGAAGAGTGTGCTCTTCTATGGGCCACCGCCTCTCTTGGGTAGCGGGTGAGGCAGTCCAACCTCTCTGAATCCTCCCCCAAAGAGATGCCACCGCCGGACCTCTGTGGCGGGCACATGTTGTTGTTGTTGTTGTTGTTGTTGTTGTTGTTGTTGTTGTTGTTGTTGTTGATGATGATGATGATGGTGGTGATACCGATGTTCTCTTGTTGTTGTTGCTTTTGTTATTGTGGTGCTTGTATTGGTAGATTTTGTTATTGTTTATTGTTGTTGCTGCATTTGTTCTTGAGGAACTATCAGTGGCAAAATGTATTATTGTTGCTATTGTTTCTGTTGTTTTTCTTGTTTTAATGGTAGCTGTTGTCTTTGCTGACAATGCATTATTCAGACAGAAAAACGTTGTTGTTTTATTAATTCACAATCATGCATAATTTTTATTCGCTTAAAAATTTCAAAAGAGGTCATCGATGCAAGGTGGCTTAAAAGAATACGGAAAAAGAAAGATAACTCACTGGGTTTCACAGAATCTAATTCCAAGGGAAAGATGGCATACGGATATTTTTTTGGTGTGTCTCCAAGGAATGGAAAGTTGGCTTTTTAACACTCTCTGTAGTTTTCCTATTTTTACGAACGCTGGTCACAATAGAAAAATATCTAAACAAAAACAAATAATGTATTGAAACTCATGCGCAAATAGAGTCAGTAAGAAGGAGGTAGCCATAGAACTACAGAAGCACAGAAGGTCAGAGGACAAGGGACTAGAAACGATTTCAGCGGATTGTTTTGTTTTAATCAGAGTTTATAGTTTTTTCAACTCGATTAGGTCAAATAAGTGTAGAGGATATGGGATTTACTAGAGAGCAACAAACACAAAAAAGACGAAGGAGAGATCAGGACTGCGATCAATGTTTAAAAGGGAAAAAAGGAGCAAACCACACTAGAGCACCAGCCAACCGCCCACCTCATGTCAGTTAATTACAATGCCTCGTAAATTGGACAGTGGAATTATCTGCAGTACAGTTTTGCAACGCATCGAGTACATAATTTGGTATATAATTCAGTTTTTAAAATCCGGTTCTGTCACAAATACGTAGATGTTATATGGGTTTTTAATGGGAAAGTTTTTGATTTCCTGCACTCTTTCATCTTGGTATTCTTTAAATGATGATGTCAAACTATACATAATTAAACAGAAAAAGAAACAGATATATAGTAGATTAAAAGGTAGTTTTATAATAATATATGCATATATACATATATATATATATAAATATATATATATATATGTGTGTGTGCGTGTGTGTATATATTATGTTTGTACTTATAATTAATATTTATTGCAGACAATTAGGTTGATAGATAGATAGATAGATAAATAGATAGATAGATAGATAGATAGATAGATAGATAGATAGATAGATAGATAGATAGATAGATAGATAGATAGATAGACAGACAGATAGATAGATAGACAGATAGATAGATAGATAGATAGATAGATAGATAGATAGATAGATAGATAGATAGATAGCTAGATAGATAGATAGATAGACAGATAGATAGATAGATAGACAGTTCACAGAGCATTCTTGTGACGATGAGAATGTTGTTCAATCAATAATCTCTATCAAATACGAATGAAAGGTACAAAAGGACACCCAAGCAATTCACACAAGTACCTTAAAGCATTCAGGCAAAATTAGAAAAGCCGTAAAAGTTAATCGATACAAACAAAAAGCCAGGATGATGTGTTCTCATTAATGAATAAAAAAGAATCGGTCAAATCCTAAATAAAGATATCGTGTACAACCGTGTTTAATTTGTCGTGAGGAAACTCCACACTTGTGAAAAAGATTAAACGCTGAAGAAGAGAGTAAAGAAATAGCACGTGGAACAACAAGAGGGGCTGTATCAAGTGGTTAGCCTACCGGACTCGTAACGTGAGGTTGCGGGTTCGAGGGTTCAAATCTATAAAGCCCGACATTGTGTACTTTGGATTTACACGAATTGTTCTCACTGGTAAATAATGGAAATGGTGTAAATAGTGTACTGTTAAAAAATACAGAAAACATTCGAAACGGTAGATAGTGTCGGTCTTGTAGCTATGTATATTGCTTGGATAGTGTAGATACTACGTTCTATCTCCCCTCCTGTTTATAATATATATATATACATACACATATATATATATTATATATATATATATATATATATATATATATATATATATATATATATATATATATATATGTATATATATATTTATATATATATCTATATGGACACAATAGTCCAGAAATCCTAAACTAAATGAATTTCTGTTCGAACACGACCAATGTCTTATTCATCATGACCAACAACGCCTCCAAAATCACATTACCGAACTTAACAACAGATGTGAGAAATTCAACATGAAAACAAGCACATCAAAACATAAGTTATGAAAGTGAGCTGAAACCATTGTCCCCTGAACATCCATATCAATAGTAAACAAGTGAAACAGGTAAAGAAGTTAAAAATGTCTTGGCAGCACTTTTTCTGTAAACGGGTTCATAGACAGAGAAGTGAAAATGCGAACTCAAAAAGCCAACGCTGTCACCTATCAGCTCGCACCCTTCCTATCTCATCCAAACATCATCATGGACACATGAAGACATCTTATCTCCTTAATATTCATACCAACATTATGTTATCAGTGCCAGACCTGGACTTTAAGTGACCCATGATAGCAAAATCACTGCAAGCGAAATGAAATGTCTCCGCAAAACCCTTAACATCACAAGACGAGACAGGCAGAGAAATGAAGAAGTAAGAGCAGCTATCGGCACTCAATCCTGCCTGCGTAACATAGAAAGACAGAGGATAGAATTGGTTTGGCCACCCGTTACGCATGTCACCTGACCAGCCAGCCTCAAGAGCCTACAACACCAAGCACCCAGGCTATAAAGGAAGAGGAAGGCCACGCAAAAAGTGTATCGAGGGTGTCAAGGAAACCCTAAGAAAACATAACATCATAACTGAAAGAGTTGCGGAGCTGGCCTACTATAGAAAACTGCTTCTCCCCTCGAGGCTTAACGGCAACAGAGGATGAAAAAGTAAAAGTAAGTAAGTGTAGATACTGTAGAAAGAGAGTAACAGTGTTATATAAAAAAAAAATAGTTTAAAAGTAAGACGCCTCTCGTTTTCTCTTCCCCTCCCCCAAAAAACATTTTTTTTAAAGATTTAAAACCAACCCAAAGGGAATTTCTCCCTGAAAGTGGAACCGATTACCTATAGCATAAGCTGTGACAAGTTGGAAGTGAAGGCGGGAAACGATCCTTTTTTGGTACCTGTTGCTAAATAAAGATTGCTCACTCTTGTGTCTGAAGTAGACTGTACATCCAGAATTTGGAGTGGTTTTCGCAAAGATTTTTTTGCGTGTACATATTTGAAATAAGATGTTTAAACGTGCAATGTGTTGTACGGAATGAGTGTGGTTTGGTTGTTCTTTACTATCAATTTTTTTTTGTCCTGACCTCTTTTCCTTTTTGTGCTGTGACCTTAAAGAATTACAAGTGTCGTCAAACTCTTAGTAAAACTAAACAAAAAGGGTCTAACTTGTCTTACGACAAGTTAAAGTCGCTTTTGTAAGTAAACTTCGATTTAAAGTCGATTGTTATGTGACTGAACTTAGTCACTTTTTCTCCATGAAACTATTTTGTAAGTAATCGAAACTGTCTCAAAAGGGGGACATAATTTCTCGTTCAACCATAGTAGAATTGTAAATGGGCTGACTCATGTCACGCTCATAACTGTGCCTGATCTACAACA